AAAACTACATTATCTCAAGAGGTTTATTTTAAAAGAATTATCTAACATTCTACATATCCATAGATATACATGTCACAAGGTTGTGTCTAGGAAGATATATTTTTGAGCAAAAAATGACCATCCTCATTAATTGATTAGATATGTTAACATATACTCCCTCCAGTCCTTTTAACTTGGGCACACCCCTTAAGAAATCTACTTACTCCTAGAAAGTAAGAAGTATTTTTACCAACTTACCCTTAATGAAATGGTATATTTAATACAGTTTCTTGGTTACATAAAGACCCACTTATCTAAATAGGAATAAATTTGGAAGAAAACAGTTACTTACAGAATGAAAATGAAAAGGTAAAAACATCACGTATATTGGACCAAAATGAAAAGGCAAAAACACCACTTAATATCGACCGGAGGGATAGATAATAAGAAATCTATCATTCTAAATTGACCAACCAAATATTATACTAGAGTAATATATCTTTTCTTTTCTTTTTTGATAACTGAGAAATCCCTCAGCGTAGACTAAATAGATAATGGTCCAACCCTCTACCCTTATCCTTAAATACCATATGCTCTTAGCACTAGATCAATGCCCTGGAGGCTAAAGTAATTAATATGAGTATTATCTTCTGCTACTATTTAAAACACATTTTTACGAAGCTACAATATCTAATGTGGGTTCACCATACCACCAGGACAAACCTGTACTCGTGGACTTTGAAAATTATCCATCGCTGTCGCTAGTGCTGGCAATACACGGTTATGATATTGAACCTGCAAATCTGGACCCAAGTCAGTTGACAGCTGGCCAATTGCATTAATAGCTGCCCACCTCACTCGAGGATGAGGATCCTGGAAAGAATTGAGAACCATGTTGACCACTTGCTCTAAATTCTTAATCATCACCTGTCATAGGAAATACAGCACAGTGTCGTCAAAGAAAACTAGTTAAAAATCATAGAAGAGTAAGCAGAAGTGTTCAATTCAACAAACAAACATTGGTTGAGTATACAATCCAATAATTGGAATTAAGCACTTGGACAAGCACCACCGCAGGAAACAACTCAACGCACCAAAAGTAGTTATATTGAACAAATACTCCACCCATCCCGAAAAAGGAAAGGCAGGCTTTGGAGTACAAGGTCAACATTGTGTGATTTAAGACATAATTCTTTGACTTCTCTTTTTCTTTTGCAGAAAGGGGTTAGATTCCTGGAAACTACATTAGAAATACTTCAAAGCATAATTTTTTTATAGTTGTAAACAATTTAAAATGTTTTCAAAAGTAGTAGTCAGAGACAATCTTAACCCTTGAAGTAAAATGCTGAAAGCAATAAATGACATGCAGCAAAATATTCAGTTACGATAGGGTATGTAGGACAACAAAAATATTAGTGCACACATACAAACACATCAAAAGGCACCAAAACCTACGAAACAAATTCAGTGAAACTGTTTTTGAATTCATAAAGAAAAGGTCTTCAATAATTATCAATCAACTAGTTGGCTATAAGAATCAGTTTGTCCTTTCTCAATCCTCAAAAATGTTGTTCTTTCCTACTTTCAGATGGTAAATATTTTTCAGACTCTACATATTAGGGCCCATTTCACTAAGACTTAATCTTTTACATAAATAAACAAAGTAAACAAGTTTCTCATTGGTACCTTTGAGCAACCTTCGGCAATCTGAGCAAGGGCAATGAGAGCAGCATGGTGCTTCTGCCACTCGGGTGCAGCCAAGTAAGCCGGCAACTGTTCAGAAGCAACAGGAACAATTGTGTTACCGCCCAGTGCAATGGCTAACCTATCCAAACACTCCTGCCCTACACTATAATTACTTGTTTCCCCTGCATCCTCGTGCTCAACTTCAGCACTATGCCAAAGAACTTCATCCTCCACATCTAACAACATCTTCATCAAAATAGCAAACAACCTACTAATAAACTGCGGCAACTTCCTCATCATTCCTGGGGCACGTTCCCTGGCCTCAGTCAATGTAATCACAAATTCAATAGCCAAGTGCCTGGTCCCCTCTTCTAGACTCTCTGCCTCGGCTATTTGCAACATTGCCCCTACAACATCTACTAGTTGTCTCCTCAAGAACCTAGGCTCAGTCCCTGCTAATTCAATCATCAATTCCAACGCTTCTTGTGCTGTGGCCTCTTGACCAAGGTTCAAGGCCTCAGTCAAGGTACTCATCATCCCAGGCAATAGATCCTGAAACCTATCCCTCTGGCTTTCGATTGCTAAACACTGTATGAAATTGATTGCAGCACTTAATGCAGCGATCCTGACATCAGGATTGGAGGAATTGTTCAAGTTTTGCAGGAAAACTGAATGCAAATCCTTTGTATAGGGAACCAAAATGTCACCTATATACTGTGCTAATTGAGCAAATATAAAAAAAGCAGATTCCTGTAACTTTGGTGAATCGCTAGTAACAGAGTGAAACATGAATGGCAATATTTCAGGCCATTGATTTTCAGGGAGAATAGATGAAGCGAGTTCGGAAATGGTGTCACATAACTTTTTGATAATGGATTTAGATTGTTCATGTTGGATACATGTGAGTAGGAGTGACTTAATAGAGGACTGGGTAGAGTGAGTGAGTTTTGGCCAGATGAAGTCGTCATCCCGAGTAAGCAACTTTCGGAGGAGTATAGCTGACATAGCACGGGGCTCGATATGTGGGGAGGTGGTGAGAAGGTTAGCAAGCTTGATAGCGAGTGAATTGGGATCATTCTGCTTGATGAGGTTGAAGATTGACTCTGCTTGGGATCGTTGTTCGTTGGAGGTTGACATGAGATGTGAGATTAGAGTTTCGAATGGTGCCGGGTCGGCTCCGAGTATGGCCGCCACTTGCTGCTGAGTTGACTCAGAATCCATCACTGATAGATAGATAGATAGGGTTGCGACTTCCGAGAGAGCTATGTATATGGCGGCTCTCTGCTCTGCTATGGAGGAAGGAGTGGTGGCGCGGGGGTTTTCTCTCTCACACACACACGTCCAAATGGATATATAGCAGCACGTAAATGGAGAGGGAGAATTTGGAGGGTTTTCGTCTTTGAAATATCAGGCTTTTTTTGAGTTATCAAACAAATAGTCTGGATAATAAATACTCCGTAAATGTTTTATTTAATTTGGTAGGTATTATTTATTTTATTACTTAGTAATAAACGCTTAAAACTGTATAAAATTGAACAAATAAACATATTTGTTTTAGATGAAATAATACGTTGGATTCCAAGTATGATGCAAATTGCTATAATATCAAGTAAGATTGGGCCAACTTTTTAGGTAAATATCTCAATTAAATCAATTTTTATTTAATACTTGAATGTGCTTATTTGATGTATTATATAAATAGATGAATATAAATCTTCGGTAAATCTAATCAATTACTACTTGTTTCAGAATTTTTCTTTTTTGTTTCTATACCTTCGTAATATGTTAGAAAACTTGAAGGCCCTTAAATTAATCTCTCAATACGGATGCTAATAACTTTTTTATTTTAATGTATAACATCAATCAAGGTCCGAAAAAATATTCTTGAATCTTATATTATATCGCATAAAAAGTTTCATTTTATATCAACAATTGATTTGATGTGATGGTGTATTTACTTTTTTCATTTCTTGTTTTAATCTTACTTATTATTTAATAATTTTATATTAATATTTGTATCCTGCTTTTTTATAGGTTTATTAATAATAATAATAATTTTATATTTTATTATTCAAGAGGGTCAAAATAGATATATAGTGCCCCGTTCAACGTTTGCCCTAATAAAGCTCCAATCAGCTCAATATCTACTGTCACCGCCGCTGCAAAATTCTTGTTAGCCGCAGGTATATTTCTTATCCTCTATGTGTATTCCTCTAGCATGTAATATTTACTCGCAGATGTTCTAGTTAGGGTTTCTGAAATTTATCCTTTATTTTCCTACGAATTCAGGTCGTATCTTTTGGGGTAATTCTATTTCATCTTTGTTTTTGATTGTTTGCTTTGCTGAAAAATGATGTTTTTTTTTTTCGAAAAGTTCCGGTAGTTGGGAGGATTACATTTTTTGTTGTGGATTACCTTTACATGCTATGCCTTTTCAATTCCTTGTATAAGACCAAAAAAGTGTTCTTTTTGCAGTTATAGATGTCTTTCGATGTTGGAACCACTAAGCAATTTGAGAATGATTTGTTTTACTTGTGCTCTTTTTTTAGCGTTTGGATCTGATCCTTTAGTTGTTGTGAAAGAATTTGTGTTGTGTTGAGAGTTGTTTTAGTAAATAAATAAATGAAAGAATGTTTGGACAACCAAAAAACTATCTTTATAAAAAGGGACTTAAATAGTTCGGAATCCCCCTGAATTTGGCACCTTATTCTGTATTCACTAAAATGTTGTTGGTCCTAATTACCCCCTCAATGTGGTATTTTGATAGCCTTTTTAGTTTGTGTTTTCCAACTTAATTGTGTTTGGACCCCATAAATAGAAAGAAAATGCTTTGATTCCGTCTTGTTCTAGTTTGAGAGGAGCTTGGACCTTTATTACATCATGTCTCTTGTTTAATAGGTGGAGCCGATGGAGAAAAATGAAGCAAAACATTCTTATGATTACTAGGATTGTGATAATCATTTTATACCTCATCATAAATTATACTAATACTGCTATTATATGCTTATGGGTACATGTTAAATATAAGATTGGCGAAGGTCGGGTATACATGCATTTTTTTTTCCCAGGAACAAAGCTTCTTTACCCTGATTATGCTGGTTTTTGGACGTTTAATCAAACTGAATATGTTTTGATTGCTATTTTTTGGTGTCTATATATTAGTCTTCTAATTCGATGAACTGATGATAGATCTCAACTAATCTGGTGAAAATGAGGGGAAGAAGTTACAGCCCCTCACCCCCTAGAGGTTATGGAAGGAGAGGAAGGAGCCCAAGCCCCAGAGGGGGTCGCTATGGTGGTCGTAGCAGAGATGATCCGACTACTCTATTAGTGCGCAATCTTCGCCATGACTGTCGGTATGCATTTTGTCAACATTTTATTCTTGGAGCATACCAGACTCATTTTCTTTTAGCTTAATCTGTTAAGCTGTTTTTTCTTTGTGGAGAAGTGATTGATTACATGCTTGTAATGGATGCTGTGTGCACTAAATTAGAAAACATGCATAGGATTTTTGTCTTGGGGACACAGCATGGGTCCGAAATAAGATTGAAGAATGTTGGCCGCATGAAATCTATTCTCTCTTTGTAGCCATCTGTAGGGACTACTTACCTTCTTCTTGCCTTTTTGAGTAAGAGCTAAAATTGGTCCTAATAAACTGTTACAATTCCTATGATTAATTCAGTTACATTATGTTAGGTTTAGGTGTTCCATGAATTCTTGCATGTAGCATGTCGTTCCACTTACTTTGCTGTTTGTGTGCAGGCCAGAGGACCTCAAAAAACCATTCGGGCAAATTGGTCCTGTCAAGGACATTTACTTGCCAAGGGACTATTATACTCGGTGAGCTTGTCTTGCATTGTCTTTATCTACACAATTCTTTCCCTCCTTGAAAGAAGAAGAAGAAGAAAGAAAGGGAGGAAGAGAGATCTCATAGACAAGTGATGGAGTTATTACATTCAGACATTTCATATCTTTAGATACTTTGTCCTATACAGTCCAACGTATGGCCTTTCATCTTTTGGAACTAGATATTTTATATTTTAGTTTTTGAGAGTCAATTCATTAAATTAAGTTTGACTAGGGATGGCACATAGGGCGGGTGGTTGCGGGACAAACCCTCATAACCCACGGAGACTTTAATCTGCCCTGCTCCGCATAGACTGATTCATTGTTTTCAACCCGCCTTGTGCTCTGCCCCACGTAAAACCCATCCCCCACCCCCGCATAATTTGCTATTTTTTTATAAAAAAAATAATTCACGGAAGATGTTTTGAAGAATGGAATATAGTCCTTGAGTTAAATCTCCTCTCCTAAAACACCCATTAATCACATTATTGATGTCCAAAGTAAACCAAGTGCTTCAGCTTTTATTTTCTTTGTTACCGTCGTTTTCCAAGCTACTGTATCCCATAAATATGTCATAATTCTTCATAGCTTGGGCAATTGAAGGGGTAGCAAATGTGTTCTTTTTGCTGGAAGTAGCCAAGGGAAAAGCTTGGTTATGCCGTGATTGCACATTGTATAATTGTTTATTAGTTTAAGCTCACGTAACGCCGTAACGATAATTGATGTCAGTTTCTTGTGGAGTTGAGTGTGTGTTGGTCTTTGCACGCCTAAGAAAGTTCAGTATTAAAATTTATTTTTTTAGTATTTTTCTTTTTCTTAAACCCGCAACCCACATCATTGTTGAAACTATTTGAACCTGCCAAAGCTTAATCCATAGCTTTAAACCTGCCCTGCCCAGTTGCCATCCCTATGTTTGACATAGAAATTTCTGTTGGCTTTTGTTTATTTTTTATTTTGTATTGGGTTCTGTTGTTTACTCATTGTTATGTCATGTTGGGTAACACTTAATTAAAGTTGTTGAGATGTAGCAGTGATACTAAAGAGTTTTGGAGACTTCAAGTAGTAAGAGTTCTGTTGACACTTTCAAGTAGTAAGAGATGTAGCAGTGATACTAAAGAGTTTTGGAGACTTCAATCAAGTAATAAGAGTTCTGTTGACACTTTCAAGTAGTAAGAGAGCTCTTGACAATCAATCAAGTAGTAAGAGTTCAAGGTGATGTTAATGGTAGTGAAGATTGGAAGGAATATGGATATATCAATAGAATGTGAAGATTTCAAGTTTTCACGTCTTGAAGAATTTCAAATCATCTTTAAACTGATACACGAAAGGTCAGCAGCCATGTGCTTGCTTCTGTGCTTATCAAGGCGTTCCAATTTTATGGGGATTATTTTAGGTTTGTTGTTTTCGGGCTGTTTGAAAATATTGGAAGTATTTAGGCAAGTCTCTTCTTACTGCACACTTTTTTCTCGTAGAAAATAATTTGATTTTGACTCCAAATATGTTGGTTTTTATTCTAATTGTTGGGGTGAGTTTACCCGTCAGAGGTTCCTTGCAATTCTGAAACTCAAACTTGCTCCTGACGTTATTCTAAGTTTCTAACTAAGATATTCAAATAGCCCTCGAATTCTGTAGCTTGGATTAACGCCCACTCGCTGAATTGTACTGTAATTTGATTAAGTCTTTAATACATTTTCTTGTGTTCCCTCTTCTCTTGCTTGTCCTTCCTCTTTTACTTCACAGTGAACCACGTGGTTTTGGATTTATCCAATATCTGGATCCTGCTGATGCAACAGAAGCTAAGTATCAGATGGATGGTCAGGTTTTCCAAGGTCGGCAACTGACAGTAGTTTTTGCTGAGGAGAACAGGAAAAAGCCTCAAGAAATGAGAGCTAGGGAGCGTGGAAGGTAGTTTTTTCTACTATGTTTGCTCATTCTTGAATTCTTTAGTTCACTTGTGTCTTACTTGAACAGTAGTTTCATGTGGTTTAGTTCCGAAAATTGGTTGTGGGAATTACTATCTCAAAGGATGAATTTGTTTTTGTCTAATAACAAAAGGATTAATTTGTTTGTGTTTTGGATGTTCTCTTTTAGCCAGTCATTTCTGTTGCTCTATCAAATTCTTGGACAATAGAGTTGTAAAGCCTCTGTTACATTCTGTATTTTTCTCATTATTAAGTCCTTGTTTTTTCAAATCATGGATTTTAATGAAAATCGATGTTTTTCCAAATGGCTAGTTTCTTAGTCACAAATTTATATGTTTATTCTATTTTAGTGCCTATAAGGATTGTCATATTGCTTCTTTCCTGAGATGTTAACACTATGATGTACCATCTTGCAGTGGTAGGGGTGGCCGCAACTATGATCGGAGAGGTACTCCCCCTAGGCACCATAACTCTCCTCGGTATTCACGATCTCCACCTCCCCGTGGCCGTGATTACTACTCTCCACCTAAGAGAAGGCAATACTCAAGGTATGCTTATTAGACACAAATGTGATATAATTGAAATTTTGTGGTGATTGATGGAAAATGAACCTTGCTTGCATTAGATCATTGTGAATGACAGACAAGGTCTTAATCACTTAAAGTATCTCTCCTAGGAATCAATATTCTGGTTTGTGAAGATATGTTGCCTCCGGTTTCTTCCTACACTGTGATTTCTTTTGGTTTTACCTTTTACTCAAACCTTATGCATGTTTGACTCTAGGATGTTGATCTGATAGCAAGATAGATCAAAGTGAGTAAATTTAAAAGCTTCAACATTTCCCTAGTCTGCTACAGCTAGCTTGAACTCAAGCATTAAAACCCCTTCCCATTCTCAATTTGTCAGCAGTGTGAAGGGAATAGCCTTTGAGTATTGAGAATGTTGGGAACATTGTCTATAGTAAGTGAAACCTGCTTTATTGATTTCTTAGGTAGGATCAATTACTTTCCAAAAAGTTTTCAGAACTCACTCACCTTTTTTTCTTAGCTTCCAAACTTTATTTGAGCGTTTGGGTGAATTCTTTGCTTCTCTTATCCATAGAATAGAAACTTGCTGAAACTAAGCCGTATTTGCAACTTCTAAACATGTGACATTTCATGTAAGTACTGGAGTTCCTTGGTTAATTATTTGGTCTGGATGTAGTTGCTCTGATTTGTGATATGAATATTTATCTCCTTCTCTTGCAGGTCTGTTTCGCCTGAAGAGAAAAGATACAGTCGTGAGAGATCATATTCTCCTCGTGGTGGTCAGGGAAGGGCATACTCACAATCCCCTCCTAGGGAGCAGTCTCCACCATTCAATGGGTCAAGAAGCCGCAGTCAAAGTCCAGTCAGGGAGCATTCTCCACCTTATAATGGTTCAAGGAGTCGCAGCCGGAGTCCAGTTAGGGCACGTTCTCCAGTTAGGGGTCACAGCAGGAGGCAGAGCCCTAGTCAAGGCCATAGTAGGAGCCCTGATGCTGTTCATTATTCCAGGAATCCTGACCATGACGTGTCCCCGAGACACTGAAGACTCTCCTCTTGGTGACGAATGCTGTAGTTTGAACTACATGATGTGATTTTCTGTTTAATTAGTTTTGTCATGGAATTCAGCAGTTGCATGTAGTGACAATCCATATGGATTATTTTACCGACTTGCTTCTTTTGCTTGTTTGTACTTTATTAGTACTGATGGATATGGATGACAACATTGCTTTCTCTTCATGTGTGAGTCACTTGACTGATGTTCTTTAGACTGCGTATATTGCAATTGTTGCTTCTCTTCACTTGGATCATGCGCTTACAATCTGTTTGGTTTGACCAATTATTTTGCCCGTACTGTTTTCTCATTTTTTTGAGTTTAGTTTAATGATTTCCGATTTACATGTACTTGTATTCTTTGAGCTGTATGGATGATATATTTTGGAAGGGAAAAAAGTTGAAATACAACTACTCTATGGATTTAGATATTCGAAGTATGACTTGTTTTAATTAAGCACTTAAATACACGACAATGACTCATTTCATCGGAAGTAAATTTAATTTGAAACTGATTTCACAAACAAGTTTGTGAGGAAAAAAAAGGCTACTATTTTGAATACGTCTCTCCATTTAAAATCACATGTTCCAACTAACCTTTTCTTAGTGCATCTCCAATCTAATTCTCTATTTTACTCTTCAAATATAGAGTTTTCTATTTTTTCAGACAACCAACTCTAATCTAATTCTCTATTTTACTCTATAAAAAAGAATCTTTTTCTCTCTCCTCAATATTATATTATTATTTATATTTCATTCTTATTTCTTATTTCATAATATAAATCATTTATTCTTTTTTCCCAAATAATTACTTTATATAATTTTTAATGTGATATGAAATTATATTTTATTCTAAATTTTTTAAATAACATAAATTGCAAGAAAATATAATATAATACATTTTAAACCACGCTGCTCACCAATGTGTAGAAGCCTCGCAACATCTTTAGGTGTTGGTGATCTCAAATATCGCTCACCAAAAACCTCTACAGTAGCTGGACAAAATCTCTTCATACTTTCAATAGTAGTTGACTCTCCAATTTTCACGTATTCATCAGTGGCATCCGCTGGCAAACCGTATGCCAACATTTTAAACACAACGGTAATTTTTTGCAAAGTAGATAATCCAAATCTACCCAACACATTAATGTGTTGTTCGAAGTACGTATCGTGATCTTTAATTGCATCAACGATACGAAAAAACAAATTGCGGGACATTCGATAACGACGGCAAAATATTGTATCATTAAAGCTTGGTGTGGCTGAAAAATAATCACGAAATAAATTATCATCAGCCGCCTCACGATCACGATTGATTACCACATGACCTGGAATGGAACCACCTATGAAAACTTCATTAGTATGATTTTGTAGAACTTGTTGGAACATGTAGTCGTTCATACGTAGCTGATTTTCTAAATTATTGTTGTGATCAATTAATTATTATGTTATGTATTGTATTGTATTTTATCTTGTATTTAAATTATTATGTTATGTATTATATTGTATTGTTATCTTGTATTTAAATTATCATATCATGTATTGTATTTTTAAATTAAATTTTTTCATCTTGCCATTTTAATTTTGCGTATTCTTTATAATGAAAATTAATAAATAAAATAAAATTTTATTATTCACGAAAATTAGAAAAAAAATTAAAATACTATTTATTTCAAATTAAAATAGTATATATTTGAAAAATATTATATTACATTTAAAAAAGAATTATGAATATTAGATATTTAATTAATGGAATTATATGTAAAATAATATGTTAATTAGAAAGTAATAGAAATAATAATAAAATAATAAAAAAGTGAAATAGAGAGTGTGAATAATTAGAGGGTGATTTGGAGGTGGGTTGGAATGCCCATTCTCTATTTTACTCTTCAAATATAGAGAATGAAGAGTAAAATAGAGATAGATCGGAGATGGTCTAACTGCTAACCTTTCAAAAGTAGGTGCCAACCCCTCTCAACTCTATTATCACGGTTGACCTGAAGTTACATAAACAAGGACAAGCATAAGAGGATAGGAGATAGGAGAAAGAACATTTGAAGGGAAATTTTGAAAATGGGAAAGAGCATAAGTGAAGTTGGGATGGAAGATTTAGTAAGAGCAGGAGTAGGAGAGGAGGAGGCTAAATGGTTGATGGCAGAGCTGAAAGCTGCAATTGCTAAAGTGGGTTTCTCTCAAAAGGAGTTATGGCGTGAGGTCACTGCTCGGAAATTGCTCAAACCATCACACCCACATCCGCTGCACCAGCTTCTTTACTACTCTGTTTACCATAACTATCACAATGGCCCACCTTTCTATTGGTTCCCTTCTCTGTAATCTCTCTCTTTCCCTTTATGGCTTTTCATTAAAAAAAATAATCATCTTTTTCATGTTCTATGATTGTTGGTTTGTGATGGCTAATTACTTGGACTAATAACAGCTGTAAATTGTTCTCATTCTGTTGTTGTCATTTTGACAAGTGATGCTCAGGTATTTAGTTGAAAACGAAACTGAATGTATGTTGAGGATCCATATAGCAGTTGTTATCCATCATATTCTGAAAATTGTATTTGGCTTACTTCCTATGGATTTCCGAGTTATTGTTGAAACTTGAAAGATGCATTACATAGGTTTACTACTGTCCATTTAAGTGATATGTTTCGTCGGTATTTTCCCTGGCTAGACACTTTGGATCAAGGAAGAGTAACCTGACTCCGTTAATGGAGAAAACTTGAAGACAAAAAAGTTACTATCAAACAGTTGAAATTGCACTTTTTGTTACATTTTACACACAATTTTAGCAGTTATTAGTTTTTTCTGAAAACTTATACAATGTTGCTTGAAAGTGTTTTAGTTATAAAAACTTAGTTTTTAGAGTTGCATATTTGTTAAATCTCATCTGATAAACTGCTATCTCTATGCAGGAATGAATCTAGATACACAAATTTGGGCCGCATAATGGAAACTCATTGTCCAAAGCTTTTCGGAGCATCATACGAAGACCCAATCTCGAGTTTTAAAGAATTTCAGAGGTTTTCTGTTCAGCATCCTGAGGCAAGTTCTTGTTTCAATTTTAACTTAGAATTTCTGGCTGCTGAGATTTTATTTCACATTCTGATCATACTTGGAGCTTATAATTTGAGAAGTTTTTCAGATTTACTGGTCAATTGTTTTAAAGGAACTTCCAATTCACTTTCTGGAAGCCCCTAAATGCATCTTGGATTTTTCTGACAAATCAAAACGTGGAGGAAATTGGCTTCCTGGTTCAGTTCTAAATATAGCCGAGAGTTGTGTATGTTCGAGCAATTACAGCAACAAGCAGGATGATTGTGTGGCCATTGTATGGAGGGAAGAAGGGAACGATGATAAAGAAGTTAATTGCATGACATTGAAACAGCTGAGAGAACAAGTAATGTAGGTTCCGACTCCGCATTGTAATATCTCTTCATTCTGTTCATATTTGGATGAATGAAGTGTATGTTCGCTAATTGGTTCTGGTGAAAGTAAAGTCATCAACTAATTAATTGTTCTTGTGGTTCATCTCATGCACTATACTCTCGTCTTGCATTTGATGTTATGGATACAATATATTTTCCTGCCTTTGGTTTAGGTTTTCTGATACTATCTTCAGGCAACATGATTTGATTAGTTGTCGTTCTGTAAAAATACATTGGCATACGTCCCTCTACATGCTCCTTTCTTCTCATAATAACTCTTTTCTTAATTGAGAAGACATTTTAAACTCATTATCTCTTCCACAGGATGGTTGCAAATGCACTGGATAACATATTCTCAAAGGGAGATGCAATTGCCATTGACATGCCAATGACCGTCACAGCAGTTGTTATTTACTTGGCCATTGTTCTTGCTGGATTTGTGGTAGTATCAATTGCTGATAGCTTTGCTGCACAGGAGATTGCAGTCCGTTTACGAGTGTCTAATGCTAAGGCTATATTTACACAGGTACTTCTATTTTCTAGTGAACATAAAATGTTAAACCAAAGGAGTTCCCTATGGAGGAGATAGATGGGGACACTTTCCAGAATATTTCCTGCATTGAAATGTTAACAATATGAATCCATCAAGAGATGGTTTTTCTCTGCCTATTTAACAATTAGTCCTAGGTGTTCTTCACTAGATTGGCCTTTTCCATACATATGTTTTTTTTTCCTTTAGGCGGCAATCTCTAAAATTCTTCCTTAACTAGTTTTCAAGGACATGATATTTATCTCTCTCTATATCATGTCAGGTCTGTAATCCCCTAACCGTTTGTTAATGTCTTACACCCCTGGTGTAAATCTTCCCTTATTCCCTTTTGAGTTATGATCAATCAGACAATGTTACAGGATTTGAAGTTCCGCAGACATACGAATAAGAAATCTCTGGCTTCCAGTTTATGTTTAAAAAAGACATTCAACTTACAGGACCATATTTTGATCATGAATTATGAAGTTTTGGATGAATATTCAGCTTTATTATTGTCTATGAGTCTGTTCTAGTGTGAGTTAATATTGTAATCTAATAACCAATAAACGAAAGTAAATATTGTCTAGTTGGTGACATTAATCTTAATATCAGTAGAGCTATTTAACTTGTGTATGATTATTTCTAACATCTAAGCTTTATGAAAAATTTAGGATTCCATAGTGCGAGGAGGCCGAAGATTCCCCTTGTATAGGTAAGTGACTAATGTTATGCTGGATGGTAAAACTGTGAAAATGCACACAAGTTACCTGCATAGTGTCTGTCTTTGGTTGGGTATAGAAAGTTGTGAAAGCCCTTCAAGGAACTGATGAGAAAATTCATCTTCCTCCCAACCAAAAATTACGCATTCTTCAGCATGCAAGAGAAGAAAGAACAAGAAGTTAACGGAAAAAAAAAAAAGACAACGGCAAAATACTGTCAGTCGAAGTTCCACTAATAAGGAATTAAATAAAAAGAAGGGAAGGAAATTCAAATGCCATTCCTCCAGCCATTGATTTTTGTATCATTTCACCCTTAAAGAAACAAATATATTTGCTCTTGAACTATGGCGGAGACATAGTTCTTTCATGAACATAGTTAATACATGGTTCATTCTCTCAAACTCTTGCAGTCGAGTTATAGAAGCTGCTCCACTTAAAGCTATTGTAATTCCTGCAACTGGGGAGGATGTACAAGTTCAATTAAGGAACCAAGATCTTTCATGGAAGGATTTTCTTGCCGGTGTCAGTCACCTTCCCAGGTAATATAATGACTTCTTTTCTTCTAC